GGGGAAGTTTGGGGCGCCCGCTGCGGCCGTGGGGACCGCGGCCCCGTGCGTGCCGCCGCCGCCGCCTTTGTGCTGCGCGTGGGCCGGGTTCCTCTGGCTGGAGGAGCTGGTTTCGGCGCTGGTGGCGAGGGAGGTCTGGTAACTGACCCCAGTCGGTTTCTTTGTTTTTATTTTCTCAGATGGCTACGGGCTCTGGGGGAAAGTGGGAATGACTGTCTAAGCAAACATGGACCCTGCCCAAGACAGAATCACCCCAGCCGTTTGTTCCTTCCCACCCCTGATGGTTGTTCTAAGGAAGGTTAAGAAAACGTCTTTCCCCTTTAAAGGGATTTTTTTTTCTCTTCAGTTTGACCTTGTCGCTAAAAGTACATAAAGCACCTGTTTTTTGAACGGGAGTTTGCCAGACTTAGCCAGTCTTTTAATATAAGCCACAGAACTGAGCGCGATAGGTTGCTCCAACCTAGGTTAAAGTCAAAGTTTGGCTTTGGTGGCACTTAAAGTATCTATATAATGATTTGGAGGACGGGATCTATTTCGACCTAAAGGTATGCCTGACTGACTTAGTGTTGGTGATTATTCACTGTGGTAGCTCAGCATGATCTTCCAGAAGTAAACCCCTAAGGAATAGGGCTCCTCTGAGATTTTATAGGAGGTGTGGGCAGGAAGCTTCTCCAGGGGGAGAATGTCTAGCTAACCCTGCTCTCCTTCCTGCTTCCAGTAAACTGGAGTTGATCTCTCTTAAAATTTCTTTTCCGGCTCTTTGTTTCTTTTGAGTAGCCCCAGGAATAGCTCAAAAAAATTAATGCTCGTTTGACACATGGATGCATGTTTGGTATTTGGCGATTGCTTCTAGTCTAGACTTCGGATAAGCAGACCCATATCTATTGCCTCTTTCCTGGTTTCCTTGTATTTGAATCATGGCTACAATCTAAAAGTGGTCATTACTAGAAAATACTACTATCTTTAATGCACTGGTCCCAATCCATACAAGTTGGTACCCATTTTATGTTTTTATGTTAATACATAAACACACTCTACAAATTTTGGTTGATCAAGTTACCAAAGAAAAATCTGAAAGGTAACTGATATTCCTAATACTACATTTCTGCAGTGAATAGAAAGCAAGAATGTCAAGAAAATGAGAAAGTGGATTCAGTAATTAAGGCTTTGAGAATTTTTTTCACAGGGAACTGTAGTTTAAGTGCTTAAGAGGTGTTTTGCAAATACACTGAGACTCTTTCATTTGTTTTCCTTAATTAGTATTTTATAGCCGATGTAGAGGTATATTTCAATATTCTAGGAAATTGAAAACACAACATGCAGTGCTTAATGCTTTTTGGATGATATAAATGGAGATTTCATTCATAAGGTGAGTAGAGGATGGGGAAGTCCGAAAGATGAGAGTTCTACAGACTTCCCTTTGCATTAATTTTGCAACAGTTTGTAGTTCAATAGATCCTGTATTCTAGAATCTCAGTGGACAGCAGGCTTCAAGGTGGCTTTAATTGCACAGTATTCTTCTTAATGTAGATCTGGATCTTGGGTGGTCTTTTTTTCTCCCAGGGTATAAATCATCTTCTAGGAAAATCAAACTCTGGTTAGACCGTGTGGCAGAAAAGCAGCATGATAACAATGTAAAATTGGCGAAAGTTTACTCATCTTATTTGAAACGTATATCAACTTTCTAAGGCAGTTAGGATGGATTAATTTACCTTGCCAAGTAGGTAGATGGTTGCTCCAAACAAAGAGAAATATTCTTAAGTTGTGCTGGGAATAAATTGCTGGTTGAGAAGAAAACAAATGTGTTGAGTCTCTAGGCTAGTTGTTCAGCCATTTCCAAGGTTAAAAATTTGTTAAAAGTTGTGATCATCTCAATATACTTGCCTCCTGCAGCTTTGTAAATAAGCAAGTAACTTGATAATGTCCGTTGTTATTCTTACAACTTTATGAAGTAGTTATTTTATGGAAGATAAAACTTAAGGCCTAGGTTACTTACCGGTACCTTATCCGAGGGAAGGATTCAGGTAACAATTGAATAGAAAGAATTGGTGTGTGCTCCCCTCCCTTTGGCAACTGGTTTGACATTGTCCTTTCAACTCTAGCTTGCTTGTCCAATTCAGAGTCAACCATTTTATATCATTAGTCCTTTGAAGACCTAGGAAATGTCACTTCCTCGTTTCTTTGTCCAGGGGAAGGGATTGTCCAGCAGCAGCATCATGTTTTGTCTGTAAGAGAAATTTTTATTGTCTTTTGGTTTCTTTTTAATTGAGTTTGCAACTAAGATTTTCTGTATTATGGAAGTAACCTGGAAATGCAGCTAGTTCAAAAGCAGGGCATTTGATTTTGAGGCGGAGAGGATTTTTTTTTTTTTTTTTTGCATCAGGAACAGAAGGCAACAACACATAGGCTATTTTACGTAGTACCAAATGACAATTAGCTAAAGTAATTCATTTCTAGCTTGGTGTATCTATTTCCACCTATTATTATAAGTTTGATTTGGTTTAATGCTTTTTAAATTTGGTTACTGTTAATAATTATGGAGCTTACATTGCTCTCATTTTGAGACTCGTCTGTTCCTCATGATTGAAATGGAGAAATATTTTAAATATAGGTTGTTATAAAAGCATTTAATTACTTAGCATTAATCTTCTAATGAAAGCAATTCAGATCATGTGGCTACCCTATGCTTCAAGTACTTAACAATTTCCATTTGGTTTCTATGTACTATATAATCAGCACCTGGTTATGTGACGACTTAGTTCCTGCCCTGAAAGAGTTTACTTGCTCTTGATCACACTCTGTGGTAAACAAGCATGTGAAATAACTTTGTGCTTGATGTTTTCTTAGAGAAAGGGTTTTGTTAAGAGAAGAAATTCTGGGGGGACAAACATCCAGG